GGTTCCCAAGCGAAACGGGCAGGAGACTTAGAAGTCGCACACAAACGGGAGGGCAGGAGGACTTCTAGGACTAGAAGATAGAGCAGATAAGATTTTTAAAGGAGACAGACAGATATCAAAAATATACCACCTGTTAAGAATAGGAGTCTCTGAGGGGCTGGCTGGTTAGCTCAGTTGCTTAGAGTGTGGTGCTATTAACACCAACGTTCAGGGTTCGGTTCCTGTAGCAGCCAGCTGCCAAAAAAAAAAAAGAATGGGAAACTTTGAAACATTAGTGTAAAGTTAAACTAGCTGCCGTAGTCCCATCCTTGTCTGCAGTTTTGCTTTATTGCTTTCCACAGTTTCAGTTACTTGTGGTCTGAAAATATTAAATGGAAAATTCTAGAAATAAACAATTCACAAGTTTTAAATTGTGCACTGCTCTGAGTAGTGCGATGCGATCTCGTCCCATCCTGCTTTGTCCCCCTCAGGACGTGAATCATCCCTTTGTCCAGCGTATACAGCTGTCCGCTTGTCCACAGTATACAGCTGTCCGCGCTACCCGCCCGTCAGTCACTTAGTAGCCTTCTCGGTTCTCAGATTGACTGTCCCCTATAGTATATATAGGGTTGAGCACTATCCAAGGTTCCAGACGTCCCCTGGGGGTCTTGAAATGTATCCCCTGCAGATAAGGGAGACTACTGCATTATGAACGTATCAGCAGATTTTAACATACAAAGGATGAGTTCAGGTGGTGAGGGGGGATCTTGGGGGTGATGTGCTTGAATCATTCAATTCTGGAGTTTACCTGATGTCTCATGGCGATAACCCCCAGGGCCTGGCTGGCTGAGGTATTGCTGGTGAGTGTTTTTTTCCATTCTCTCCCTGGAAGGTTTAGGATGCATGTCAGATCCATGAGTGTCAAACTGCTTAAGTTTGTGGACAAACTGCTTCACTGGGACTGTAAGGATGTTTGTAGCATCATCTTTTTAAGTTGGGAACAGCAGTGGCCTTAAAAGATTCTGCTATAAATAAATTTTAAAGAACCTGAATATCAAAATTTGTTGCTATCTCACTATGATCTTTTTGAGGCTTAATGGAACTTTCTTAAAGTTGGCATGTGCTTATTAAAAAAAACAAACTCTTGTAGATGCTAGGTATTTTCTACTCAAAATAGATTCCTAAGCATATCCCAGAGAACTCTTTTTTTTTGTCTTTTTTCGTGTCCGGCAACGGATCGCAACCCTCAGTGTCGCGCCCG